ACAAGGTGAGTGTAAATTTCAGAGGAAGTCAGATGCTCACTATGGAAATATCTAAGGAACCGTTGTTAATTTTGCTGGCTGTGACGTTACTGTAGTTAAGTTGAACAAAACCTCTGTTAGAGATATCCCTCTAGAGATTCCTCCTGAGGTAATGACGGGTGGAACAAAATAATGTCTGGGATTTGCTTTAAAATACTCCAGCAAACAAAAAACAGGAAGTTGGCAGGGATCAATGAAACACGCAGCAGCATGTCGCTGTCCCCAAGCCTTCCCCTCTTCTCTGTGCCTCAGTTCCATAATGGCCCCATCAGCCAAAATCTAGGGGGTTGCTTTGACGTTCATGCTCTCTGTCCAGGTGGTTATGAAGTCCTGATTGTTCTCCTAGAAATCCCTTAAATCTTTCCTCCTGACACTGCCTTGGTTTAGTAGCCCCTCTCATGTCTCATCTGGAATGCTGCGGTCATTATAACTAGTTCACTCGCCCCTAGCCTCGCTCTGGTCAGGTCCGTCTTCCTCATCAGGATCAGCGTGTAGGTTGAATGTAGACAGACCATGGAGGGGCGTGTGCTGGCAGGTTGTGCAGATGTGATGTGCACGGTCACGCGGCTGGTGCTGAAAACCCAGGACTGCCCAGGAAACCCCTGCTGCCCCTGCCGCATCGAACTGCCACCCAGCAAGACAGTTTTCAAATCATTTTAGGGAAGGGACCCAGCCTGACTAGCGATTTAATAAGTGCCAGTGGATTTGAGGTGCCAAATCCTGTTGGTGGAACACACTAAAGTAGCCAACTTACATATTCAAAATAGGTGGGGATATGTGGAAAAGATACAATTACACATTTTTGCTATTCTCATTATAAATGGATAGGATCCAGTCTTTTGGAGAGCAGCCTAGAAATAATACATAGTGAGTTTTAAAATAATTTATATTCTTATGTTTGATAATCAACCTTTGAGACACTATTCCAAGATTTCCCACCCTAACAAATGGTAATACATGTTCACATCTAAAGTACTAATTCCGATTCCTGCCTCCAAACCTTCCTTTCACAGTCTTTGCCGTGTCAGTAGAAGGCAGCTCCGTCCTCACAGCTTCTCACTGACAATCCAGCAGCATTGGTCTTGCTTTCAAAATACATCCCAGATAGGACTGCATCTCACTATGCCTTATACCACCCTGGTCTGACCTCCGGAATCTCTTGCAGGGATCACGCAAGTGACCCTCTTTGCCCTCTGATAGGTTTATTTTCAGCACCTCAGCCAGATGGATCCTTTCAAAATATAAGACATATCGACCCATTTCTTTGCTCAAAACCCTTTAATCATTTCCTTCTCTGTTGGAGGAGAAGCCCCAGTTCTGGTCGTAGCTTAAGAGGCCGGACACAGTGTAGCTTCAGGGGACCTGTCTCTGTGGGACCTCACCTGCCGTTCTCTCTGCTCAGCCGCCCAGCAGCACGGGCCTCCTCCTGTTCCCGCCGTCTGAAATTCTTCCCCGGGTAATCACGTGGCTTGCTCCCTTAGTTTCCTCCAGTTCCTACTTAGACATTAGGTTATCAGCAAAGCCTTCCCTGAACACTGAAGTCTATTTTTTTTTTTGCAAGCCAAATTTTTTATTTCTTTGTTTCTTGCACTTGGAGTACTCTTTGATCACATCCTCGGCCTGAGATTCTTTGCCACAGCTCTTAGCTGCTGTACAACTGCAACCAACCACTTTTTAGGGTTTTCCCTCTCTGTCAGTTTTACAGAGGCCTACACGTTCCCCTAGTTTCTTGTTGTCATCAACCTTAATTAGGTTGATCTGGTGTTCAGCTCAGAGGGCCTCCACCAGCTTGACACACACAGGCTCATCCCACCTGGATGCAGGCACACAGACGTGGGCGTGGCGCTTGCCCAAGGCATTGGCAGCTTCGTGAATTCCACGTGCTAGGCCTTCGTGGATGAGGGCGGTCCTCCACACCTCTTGTAAAGCAGTATGAACGTCCACTAGCCTCCTGCAGCAGTGCCTTCCTCGGCCATGGCGGCGGGTTATAGTGAAGCCCGCTGAACGCACCCAAGCCTCCACGCGATCCGGTGGCGGCAGGGAAAGAGAAGCTGAGGTCTAAAACCGAAACACCCCTGTGTCCCCCTACACTCTGTATTCTCCGATCCCTTCATCCCAGCCTAACATCTCAAGGAGAGGTGTGGAGAGTTTACAGCTGTTGGCAAACAGTTCCAGTCCTCCTGACAATCTCACAGAGAGAAACAATCCCAAGGACATTGCTTGAATGGTGAGTGTTTTGACCCCTTGTGTTAGTCTGCTTCTATTACTTACAACAGAATTCCTGAAACTGGGTAATGTATAAGGAAAATGAAGTTTATTTCTTACAGTTTTGGAGGCTGGGAAGTCCAACATCTAGAGAACACATCTGGTGAGGGTCGTCTTCAATGGTGGTGACTCTGCAGCAACCAAGTTGTAACATGGCAGAGTGGCTGAGCAAGAGAGAGCTAATCCTTATCTGCTGTCCTCTTAAAGCCATCAGAACCGTGCCCATTACTCCATGGATGAATCAGTCCGTCCACAAGGGCACAGTGCTCACCATCTAATCAACTCTTAAAAGCCCCACCTTTCAAATACCATAACTGGATATCCCACCCTCTTAATACTGTCACAGTGAGGGTCAAATTTACAGTACATGAACTTTTGGGGGACACATTTAACCTATAGCACCTCTTTTTTCTTTCTTTCTTTTTTTTTGGCAGCTGGCCTGTACAGGGATTGAACCAGGTGTTATCAGCACCATGCTCTAACCAACTGAGCTAACTGGCCATCCCTAACCCCTTATTTAGTAACGCACTGTGTTGGCAGCATTACCCAGGCCAGATACTTCATCCCAGGGTTGTAAATCTGCACCTAGCTATACAGTGGCCGCTGTCAGGAAAGCACACTGCAGTCACTGTCAATAATGTCAACTCAGGTAATGTGACACTTACCATTTCCTCATTAGAACAGTAAACTCCGGGCCGGCCCGGTGGCTCACTGCTACAGTGCGCCGCTTGGGAGCGCGGCGGCGCTCCCGCTGAGGGTTCGGATCCCACATACAGACCAGTTCCCGCTTACTGGCTGAGCGAGGTGCGGGTGCAGCACCAAGGGTTGCGATCCCGTTGCTGGTCCCGGTCCGGTATGGGCGTGACACTGAGAAGGTTTCTCTGAATTAAAGCTGGGCAACCTGAATTATTCTAAATTGTATTATGCAATATTAATGTATATCCAAAAAGTTTAGACATAGTGAATTAGCACAGCCTGGAAAACAATTTAATGTATCTGGTACCTAGCAGTTCTGCTCATCGCTGTATCTCTGGAGTGGGGATCAGCAAACGTCTTCTGGTCTCTTTTGCCATGAAATAACTTTGCAATAAAGTCTGCCATTGTAGTGTGAAAGCAGCCATAGACCGTACATAAAGAAATGAGCATGACTGTGTTCCATCAGTGTTATTTATGGACATGGATATTTGAATTTCATGTAATTTCCTCATGTTACAAAGTACTGTTTGAAGGATAAAAAACTGTTCTTAGCATGTGGGCTGTTCAAAATGAAGACAATCTGGATTTGGCCCAGGAACCTTAGTTTGCAGACCCCCACTCTAGAGCAGCTCTATCCAGTAGGAATTGCTGTGGTGATGAGAAGGCTCTGTATCTTATTCTCCATGCAGCAGTCACCAGCCACAGGTGGCTACTGAACACTTGAAATGTGGCCAGTGTTATTGAGGAACTACATTTTTAATATTATTTAAAATTAGTGGGAATTTTAGTTTGCGTTTGAATAACCCCATGTGGCCGCACAGATCTGCAGAAGCTCTTGTGTGTGTGCAGCAGGGAGCAGGGACAGAAATTCTCGTTAGAGCATTTTTCATAAACAGCAAAAATGGGATACAGCACATTCACATAAGGAAAATGATTATAGCGAACACTGGCTGAGTTCTTTCTTTATGCCAGGCAGTGTTTCAAGCACTATGTGTGTTTTCACTCATTGGATTCTCTCTACGAGCTGTAAGCTACAGCCACGCACATCAGCATGGATGGATGAACTTAGATACGGAAGGTCACGCATGTGAAAGAAGCAAGTCACAGAAACTGCATACCAGATGATACCATTTTTAAAACCTTAAAAACAAGCAAAATGCAACAACACTGTTCAGGAGATATATGGTAGAACCATTAAAAAAGCAAGGGAATTCAGGCTATGTTACCTTTGGTGGTTACATAGTTGCCCCAAGATAGGACACATTGTGTTTTGTATTTGTGGAGGGGCAGTAGCAACCCTGACCTTGTTCACAGTTTGACTCCTCTGTAGTAATCATAGGCTATGTATGTGTTGACTTGGTAGAATGGTGTTTCCATTTAATGAAGACAGTGGTCATTGTAATATCACGACAGTTAAGTTGTGAATCTGGTTTTCGATCACATTTAAGCAGATGTTTCATTAGCAGAGGTGTGGTTTGTATTTATTGCCTTGGTTGGGTACTTTAGATTCAAAAACATTGTTATTTATTCAGTTCAAGAACAAAGGGTTAAACCTTTACTCCAGATTTTTGTTTCCTTAAATCTAATGATGATTGAATGTTACCAGAGTCTAGCCGAGAGAATTTAGCTTGAAAATGAACATCTGAAAATACAAAATAACAAATAGGTTTACTTTTTAATTGCTGTCATCAAAGCGTTCATTAAAAGAAAAATCCCAGTGACACCTGAGATTGTTAGGAAACTTCATAGCAGTATTCCATCTATAAATTAGTATAACTGCAAAATTATGCAGTAGTTGGTAAGTTGGATTCAAAGTGACATTTTGTTACCGAGGATCTAGTTTCACTGCAGCAGTTCTAGCAGCAGGCTACTGAGCTCATTGTTAAATTATATGTCAAGCTTCTCTATGTAATATGTGCATCTTTGACATTTTTCCTTATTGTTCCACGTCTTCATTCTTTCCTGTATTACTGACATGGGTTTATCTTTTCTCCCTTTAGAGAGTTTTGAGGTGACAGTCACCAAAGAAGGTGATAAAGGGTTCTTTCTATCCCTCTTATGAATATTAACCCACTAACTTTGTTTATAAAATTGGGAATCAGCTCTTAAACAGAAGAAACTGTCATGCTCTTTTACCCCTATTTATTCTCCTACTTTGTTTCTATTTTAAAATATATTGATGGAAATTGTATGTAACCAGACCGCTGGCTAGAAATATCTGGAAATCAGGCATCCATTTGAACTATATGGATAGTACTGTACGTTTTTGTTTAATTGAACTTCAGAGATTTGCTTTGTAACATTTGCTATTAGTTGGAATTGTGGAAGAGTTCAGTCTTATTTTTATGTGATACACACATTGTGAAATCTTATATATACATCAAAACATTTAGACTTGTTCTCCCATGAGCAAGATGGGAAACAGATTTTTAACCTCTAATTAAGCTTTCAGGACAATTTAGCTGTAATTCCCAGGCTGGTGTCTTTTTTCAGGTTTGATAGGATAAAGTCGGAAACAAAAGTCTAGCAAATCCCGCCCCATAATAGAAACTATCTTAATTGTGGATGATAGCTGTTGAAATGGATGCCTGAAAAGTTGGTATTTCTACCTTTCTCATTTAGTAGTTTGTTTTGATTCCCTAATTTTAGCCAGGCTCATTGCACAGGAAGACTTGTTTCTTTCTATTCTTTTTTTTTTTTTGACAGAATTTGTGTAATTACAGTGCTGATCCTATATGTCACGCTTCTTCCTCTCTCAACACTTAACTGTGCATTTTAGCTTCTCTCTGGTCCAAATCAAAATAGCTGCCCAGCTGCCCCGGTAGCTGGGGCAGCCTGGTGTTCTCAGACCTTGGCTGTTTGCTAATGAGACTCCTTTACCCGCGAGCTGTCTTAAGTGCTCCTGTGGAATGCCTGTCTATATTCTCTTTCTCTCTTTTGTATTCCTGCATGAATGGATGCAAAGTAAACAAGTTGCTTGGAAAGCCAGAATATGCTTCTTTTTACTAAAGCCCCAGAACTTACCCATGTCAAAGCACAGTGCCCTGCTTTGTCCACAGACCCTCCAACCCCTGGCTGCCGAATTGTCATTTATTTTCTTTGGGGGTGGAGAGGTGGGGAGGAGGGCAACGTGCAGAGGGTTCTGCAGCAGAAATTCTAACCAGCTCTGCTTTGACTCCCTAGGTGAGATTTGTGGATTTAAAATTCACGGGCAGAATGTCCCCTTTGATGCAGTGGTAGTGGATAAATCCACTGGCGAGGGAATAATTCGCTCAAAAGAGAAACTGGACTGTGAGCTGCAGAAAGACTACACGTTCACCATCCAGGCCTATGATTGTGGGAAGGGACCCGATGGCACCAACGTGAAAAAATCTCATAAGTAAGCAAGCTGGACGAAGAGTGAAACTAACTTACTAAGTAAACATGTGTGCGTGTAAAGAAAATAATAGTGACTGTTGCCCTGACTTCTTGTGTTTTTGAATTATGAGTCAGGAAGTAGTTCTCACGTGTCCACAATTCAACCGTCAGCTCCTTGAGGGCAGGAATCATGTCTGTCTTGTATACAGCTCCTAGGAAGAGCCAGCCACGTGTTAGGTTTCTAATGAGTGAATGAGTAATTTTATCCCACCAAATACTCTATGAAAGAAATGAAGGCGCTACATCAAAAATTCAAAAAGCTCACTTTTTCCTAAGGGAGGTTATTTTGTTGTTATATTTATCTGTAAATCCTAAGGGCGTAAAATTAATTATTGCTGGTGGAAGGGAGCAGGAACTACTGATGCAGCAGAGAGTACTCTGGACAAGACATAGTTTAGAATTTTCTCCTCCACTTAGTAGCCCTTCGACATTAGGCGAATGTAATTTTGTTGAGTCTCCATTTCTACTTAATACATTTACTAAGGAAAAAGGTGAGGTGTGGGTGAGATGATGTCACACAACCCACCGTAAGGGTCAGGCTGATGGCGCTGGCGTGTGGAAGCTCTAGGTGGAGTGGGGGGTGCTGTGTGCCCGTGAATCTCTCCTCACCTGTTACATACACAGTGTGACGTTGTTCTTTCCCTTGAAAAGGGTCGTATTTTGACAAGACCTTGTCTGATTTGGAAACATGGCCTGATCGATAACCCTTGCTACCTACTTTATATGTAGCCTGGTCTGAGGACACCTTAGTTTTCTTGGTGACTAAGCTGGGGAGATGGGAAGTGGCAGCAAGTGTTGTCCTTCCTGAGCTCCTCCTTTTGTTGGGTCAATATTGGGTGACATGATGGTCTCTACCCTATTCCTTAGAATAGCACAGAATTTGTTTAAACTGTCCTAATCAAATCTTCCTGTGCTTTCTCCATTTCTTACCCCTTCTCCTTTTGGCTATAGTTTTTTTCTGGATTTTGCAACAAAGTGTCTTTTAACTTTATGATTAGAGAGTGACCACATGTCCTGTAGAGTCGATCTTCTTTCTGCATGTCCTGTCCCATATTGTGAAAGGGAATCCCAAGTCTCTCTTATTTTATATTATTGCTTTTTTAAAAAAATTTTTATTTTTACCAGCTGCCTTATTCTTAGGACAGGGAAGAATCAACTCAAATCCGTATTTTAATTTTTCATGGTCTCCAATGCTGAGTTAAAAACAATGAATAGTTTGGTTTAATTTTTGTCTTCATCATAAGAATTTTATGAAACAAGGTATCAGAAAAAGGGATATTTAAATACAGGGCAGGATTCGTATCCTTGGGGTAAAAACAAAACAAAGCAAAACAGCTTCTTTCTCCCCCTTCGTCCAGAGCGACTGTGCACATTCAGGTGAACGACGTGAACGAATACGCGCCCGTGTTCAAGGAGAAGTCGTACAGAGCCAGCGTCGTCGAGGGCGAGCCGTCCGCCAGCATCCTGCGAGTGGAGGCCGTGGACGCAGACTGCTCCCCTCAGTTCAGCCAGATTTGCAGCTACGAGATCGTCACCCCAGACGTGCCGTTCACTGTTGACAAAGATGGTAAGAGCAGAGGGGCACGTGTCCTTAGCAAGCACGGTCCCTTCCAGCCCGGTCGGCTTTAAAACCAAGTTTACAGACATAGTCGGAGCTCGGGTGAAGCTCACAGGGTGGAGACTTGGTGTGTATTTGTTTCACGTTCAAGTTTTTACTCTGTGCCCGAGAGCTGCTTCTCTGGAACCTGAAAGTCTTGCGTTTCCTTGTGGGGCTCTCCTCTTTTCCCTTTCCCACCAAGGTCAACTAAAAATCCCCCACTTGGCATGTTTTTATTCTTCTACCTTCTCATCTTTCAATGCACTTGCAGCTGAATGAGACTGTCCTTTATGTGGTCTTGTTTTCTGTTCTCCTTGTCTCATCTTGAAGGTGAGGGCTTATACCTTACCACCACTGCCAGGTCCTCTCTATCCTTAGTAACTGAACAGAAGCAGCTCATGCTAGAGCTCAGCTCTTGATAAGGTTATGGCTTAATGATATATGGTGTCTCCATCGTTAGTTAATGCACAGTCCAGAACTTTGATGGGATTCTGGGTATTACAAACACTTTCCAGACACCAGCACTCATGTCAAAAAGCAGGCTTCCGTTCTACATGGGTGGGGGTGGGAAATCTCTCTCTCTCTCTGTCTCTAATAAAGTAAATCTTTTAGCAAGAAGTATTTGATGCAGCTTGATCTTGTATTCAATATTTGAAGTACTTGAATTTTTTTCTTTTCTTGTATATAAGCTGTTAAAGTTAATATAAAACCAAATGTATGTTGCACTGGCCACCACCAAACCAACCAACCAACCAACCAAATGTATGGGCAAGCGTGGTGCCACTAACCAGAAGGTGAAGGGTTTGGATCCCTGCAGCAGCCAGCTGCCAAAACACAAAGACACACAGACAAAAAAACAAAAACAAAACAAATGTAAATCTGTAAGAAGGAATGGAATCTCAGTTGTTGGACTCATCCATTCTGTCTAAACACTTCAAGGTGGATTTAGTGTGTGTTCGAGCTTGGGTAAGACAGGTTGAATGTTAATGGTCTTAACTCTAAGTTTATCTCTGGGTCAGTATTTACAGGCTACAGCACGTGCATTTTGTGTTTGGTGCAGGACAACGAAATTAAAACAGCACAGATTTTCCTTCTCACTATTGTTTTTCCTCCTCTGTAAGGTTTTATAAAAAATACAGAGAAGTTAAACTATGGGAAAGAACACCAGTATAAGCTGACCGTGACCGCCTACGACTGTGGGAAGAAAAGAGCGATGGAAGATGTGCTGGTGAAGGTCAGCATTAAGCCCCCCTGCACCCCTGGGTGGCAAGGTGAGCTGCGTCCTCTCTTCCACTTCCATATCTGTGCTCCATACGTGATAGCACAGACACCTAAAGTGTGAGTTTTCCTTCTTTCCTCCCACCACATTTGTGGACCAACACAGGATGGAACAACAGGATTGAGTATGAGCCTGGCACGGGCGCCTTGGCTGTCTTCCCAAATATCCACCTGGAGACGTGTGACAGGCCGGTGGCCTCCGTGCAGGCCACGGTGGAGCTGGAGACCAGCCACATTGGGAAAGGCTGCGACCGAGACACCTACTCTGAGAAGTCCCTGCACCGGCTCTGCGGTAAGGACAACCGGCGCTCCTGAGTCCGGCAGTCTTCAGTCAAGGCGATGGAGAAACATTTCCCTTTTACAACTGGAAATATCTGTGTGTGTTAGTGGTCATAATTATAAACTGTAACAAAGCCTCTCAACTTTTGAAATGGCTTTTGCTGCCTAACTGGCTAATTCTCCTACCGGATGAAGGGTGCTACATAAACCCCTAAGGGTCTGCTCAGAATGTCACGCGGATGTGCATTGTAAGAACCACTGATCTGAGGCCGGCCCGTGGCTCACTTGGTAGAGTGTGGTGCTGATAACACCAAGGCCACGGGTTCAGATCCTATATAGGGATGGCCGGTTTGCTCACTGGCTGAGTGTGGTGCTGACAACACCAAGCCAAGGGTTGAGATCCCCTTACCGGTCATCTTCTTTAAAAAAAAAAATTTACAGTTTTGTCTTTCAAATTCTGGTATTTAATGTACTTGAACTGATTTTTGCTTATGGTGTGAAGTAGGAGTCCAATTTCTTTTATCTTTCTTTCCCCGCAATGGATACTCAACACTGATCTGAAGAAAGTATTTCTCTAACATCCATTGAGAATCATCCAAATAGGGATTGTGTAAGAATAAGAGGAATGAATTTTATGTGAGAAGAGATGTTTATTTGAGAACCGAACTAAAAAAGGGAATGCCATAGCTTTTGGCAAACACGAAGCAGAAAATCAAAACTAATTATACCCGTGTCTAACTTATAGTCTCAGCAGACTCCATACATCACAACCATTGAGGGGAGAAGCTGAGAGGCAGAATTATTAGCAAACTGACCAAAAGGCTAGCTCTCTATCTTTACTGTCAGTTGTGGATGTTTTTCTGGTTTATCTAAATAAGGAAGAGGTGAGGTGTGGACGCCTCTCATGAGGTATGCCGAGGGAAGAATGTTTTAGTTGGCTGGTGATAAAATGCCAGTCACTTAAGTGGCCTCTTCATAATTGGAAGGATCTTTTGTGTTTCAAAAGCTACTTGGAAACAGCATTGTGAGGAGCATTTTCCTAAATTGATCCGTCTTTTCACTAGTCTGATAACAACTGTAAGATTTAGGCAGCTGTTTTTTTTACATAATTGAGAATTGTTATATGGTAAATAAGCAAAAGGAGAAAACTATATTTTGTACTGGCTCATCCTGATGATGAATATTCTAGGATGTTTTGCAACTCTAAGTCCAAATATTCATAATCGTGTACCCAAATATATGTAAGTTAAGAGGTCTGGAACATTTTCTATTTTAAACTATCCATATAGATATAGTGTTTTAAAACTTTTTTTTCCCTCATAATGCCATTATTTTTTATGGTAGTAAATGAACAGTTTAAAAATAGGAAGAATTAGACTGGCTGGTTAGCTCACCTGGTAATGCGTGGTGCTAATAACACCAAGGTCAAGGGTTTGGATCCCTGTCCTGGCCAGCCACCCAAACACAAATAAATAAATAAATAAAATTAGGAAGAATAGAAAGTATTTAATATCTGAGTGTTTAGTATATGCCAGATACTTCCATGTGTACTTTAATTTAATATTCCCAACAGGCCTATGAATGTAGGTAGCACTGACCTTTATTTTACAAAGGAATTAATTAAAACTAAGGGAGGTTAAGTAGCCTGCCCAAAGTCACATTTTTAGGAAGCAGTAGAGCTGAGATTTGGACTGAGGTCTCATGTTATTCAAAAGACCAAGCTGGTCCAAGCATGTCGTGCTGCTCCTAGGAGTGGAGGAGTCAAGGACCAGGCAGCTGACAGAGCTACAAAATCTTCTTCTGTGGACAAATTTAGAGAAAAAGTTTGAACTTGGCAATATGTAAAAACAGTTATAAAATTTTTTTCATCTTCTTTGACTTAGGATAAATTCCTAGAAATGGAATTACTAAGGGAGTAATCACGGAGACACACAAAGGTGCTCATCCTGGTTTATGATAGGAAAAAATTATAATAGGAGAAAATTAGGAACAACCCTGTGTCCGCCAGGGAGGTTAGTTAAATAAATTATGGTTATCTGTGCAGTGAAATGCTATTCACATTTTAGATTGTGCAATAGAAGAATATTAATGGGAATATATGTATTACGTGCGTACATAGCAGGACTCCATTTTTTTAAAAAGCACATTGAATGTATATACCTAGAGAAGACTGGAAGTATTTATGCTCAAATGTATATATTTGGGTGGGATTCCAAGAAATGCTTCTTTTTTCCTTCTTCCTTCTTTAAGAAAATATCCATGGTTATTATTATTATTGGTAATAAAAGCCCTTATTTTTGAGGAAAAGAAAATTGGAACTAGCAAATTATATAACCATAACGTAAGGACAGTCCCTTAGGGTGGCTGAAACACTTATGTCCGTCTTCAGTTCTTCACATAGTTGACATCAAGTGTCTTTGTGGTTTTAGGGGCCGCCTCTGGCACTGCCGAGCTGCTTCCTTCCCCGAGCAGCTCCTCGAACTGGACCGTTGGGCTCCCCACCGACAACGGCCACGACAGTGACCAGGTCTTTGAGTTTAATGGCACTCAAGCGGTGAGGATCCCAGACGGCATTGTTTCAGTAAACCCCAAAGAGCCTTTTACTATCTCTGTGTGGATGAGGCATGGGCCTTTCGGCAGGAAGAAAGAGACAATCCTTTGCAGTTCAGACAAAACAGGTAGGTTAATTTTTCTGCAAATGAGGTCATACTTCAGCGTCCAGTGAGGTCACTGCGGAGGCAGGTGCCTTTTCCTCCTGCAGAGGCATTGAATAGGCTGGTTGTTCATATACATTGTTCTGTGTCTTGTGCTGGGGTACTTTGACCTCAAGAGAGAGAGCTTCGGCGTTCGGTGTTTGTTATTTTTACTCAGTGGATCGTCAGCAGTCATCCTGGGCCCAGCTTCTCAGTAAAACCCAAGCATGTCTGTTTCTAAACCCTGCCTTGGCCCAGCTGGAGAGTTCATTTATGCAGGTAGAATTGTGTCTTCCAAATCCACTAAGGAAGTGACTTTTCTTTCTCCTTTGAATCTTAAGTTGGCAAATTACCCATAGAAACTGTCTTTGCAGATATGAATCGGCACCACTATTCCCTGTATGTCCACGGGTGCCGGCTTATCTTCCTTCTCCGTCAGGATCCTTCTGAGGAGAAGAAATACAAACCGGCAGAATTCCACTGGAAGCTGAATCAGGTGAGCAAAATGAAAACTCACTAATTATGGTCGTTTAAGGGAGATTAACTAGGTCCTGCAGCCTTGCACGTGACTGGCTGTGTTCGGTTAGTAGATGTTTATGATCTTATGATTTCTGTGTCTGTGGGTAATAGGATAGCAAATTAAATCCATTTAACTCCTCGCCACTGAAAGCCTGTTTTTTTTTACAGGTATGTATTTAATACATAAAAAATTATGTATTATAAGTTCAAAATACTGTTATAATTTATTGAAATAAGTAGCATTTACTTAAAAATTGGGACTGAGGTCCTTGTATTTATTTATTTGCTATTTAAGGGCTTGGCTCCCAAACCATGACAAAGAACTTAGCAATTCAGGGGCACCACAGGATATTTCAGGGTTTCAAGGAAGCAGCAATCTTGACCTCTTTCAGATACCGCACAAATTACTAGCTTGAGGTAGTTTAGTCTTTGCATTAAATCACATTAAATTCCCTTTGATGATGGGCCGGCCCCATGGTGCACTCGGGAGAGTACAGCGCTGGAAGCACAGTGACGCACCCGCCGTGGGTTCAGACCCTATATAGGGATGGCCAGTGCGCTCACTGGCTGAGCGCGGTGCGGGCGACACCAAGCCAAGGGTTGCGATCCCCTTACCGGTCACGAAAAAGACAAAAAAAAAAAAAATTCCCTTTGACAATGTCATGTCTTTGCAAATTTTCTAGTTGTTGCTGTGATAAAAAGCAAGTCTTACATGAAAAAATCCAAGGGCTACAGGGAACAAGGGGGTGCCATCAACCAAGAAAGCCTTCTCATTAAAATCAGAACAGACAATTTCCTGATTTAGGATTGGCACAGAAGGTAACCATTGGCTCACGGAGTTAGTGGGCAAAAGCCGATATATTGTTTTATGTTCCTGTAGTTGCTAAAATATAACATTGTCTAAAATAGTTACAAGATAGAAAAGTAAGAGCATAAATGAATGAGAACAGAAAATCGTATGTGATAGCATGATGTGAGCATCCGGCTGGTAGCAGTTATCTCTTATTGATGTAAATTCTTGGGTTTTTTTGTTATTTTGGTGGCAGGCTGGTATGGGGATTCGAACCCATGACCTTGGTGTTATAAGGCTGCACTCTAAACAACTGAGCTAACCAGCCAGCCCCAATATGTAATTTCTATTTACATAAATAATTCTCTGAAACTTTTACTGTAATTTTTTTCAAAATATTAAAGAAAGGTAAAGAAGGTCTGGGGAAAAATTTTCTTCAATATAGGTAGACATGTTAGGTATGGTTCCATTGTAGCAACCCATAATCTGTATTTACATATTCAGTTTCTTCTGATTATACATTTTTTAAAAACTTTACTATGGAGAGTGTCAGGCACATACGAGTATGAAAGTAGACAGATTCGCATAAAGAGCAGCCCCGTGTACTCTTTGCCCAGCTTCAGCCGCAATCAACCCTTGGTCAGTCTTGTTTCATCATTACCCCCAGTCACTGTTAATAATTTTTTTTTTTTTTGTCTTTTTCCGTGTCCGGCAATGGATCGCAACCCTCAGTGTCGCCCCCGTACTGGACCGGGACCGGCAACGGGATCGCAACCCTCGGTGTTGCTCCCGCGCCTCGCTCAGCCAGTGAGCGGGAACCGGTCTGTATGTGGGATCCGAACCCTCGGGCGGGAGCGCCGCCGCGCTTCCCAAGCGGCGCACTGTAGCAGTGCGCCACCGGGCCGGCCCCACTGTTAATAATTTTCATGACCCCCTCAAAAATTACTTAATAATTTCAGGAAAGCCTCGATAGAGCATCCCATTCTCTGTAGACATGCGTATTTCATCATGTATCTCTAAGAGATAAGCATCATCACAATACTTTTTTCACATCTTGAAAAGTTAACAATAATTCCTAATATCAAATATCTAATCAATGTTCACTTTTCAAATGGTCTCATAAATGTTTCTGTTTTTACAATTCATTTGTTTGAATTAGGATCCAAATAAGGAGCCATACCTTACAATTGGTTGATGTACATTGGGGATGTTTATTCATGACGGTCAAGGAGTACAGTTTAATTTGGCATGCCATCTGAGCCGTGTGTTCTTATTTATTTAGATCATCTACTTTGAATTGAAAAAGAAAATACATGTACTATAGTGTGCCTTATTCTGAGATTAGATGTGCATTTTATTTTGACCTGGAAAAGGAATGTCCGGTTGGCAGGCTAAGCCAGCCCGTTAGAGGGTGGGCATCCAGCCTGCCCACGTAAGAATTCTCTGGTGTCGTGCTACTGGCAGAGGAGAGCTAGGCAGCTCCCTGGTTTGGGGCCCTGTCCTATGATGAGGGAGCTGTGAATGCCAACTGGTTTTGAAATGCCCTGGAGATGATAGTGCTGTTGCCTTGGTCATTTTTGGTGAGAAGTGTTTGCAGAATATTTTGATGTTAGATTTTTTTTTTTTTTTAGGCTTTTCTTTTAGGAAGACGGATATTCACCGTAGGTGATTTGTTGTCCACATCCCCTTGTATTGCCCTCATCGTTGTGTCTTTGGATGAGCGGGAAGGTTGACATTCCACGCTCCTAAAGCTTCGCTTTGCCTCTGGCAGGTGTGCGGGGAGGACTGGCACCACTACGTGCTCAATGTGGAGCTCCCAAGCGTGACTCTCTATGTGGACGGTGTTCCTCACGAGCCCTTCTCTGTGACCGAGGACTACCCGCTGCACCCTTCAAAGATAGAAACTCAGCTCGTGGTTGGGGCTTGCTGGCAAGGTAACCGTCACTGGCCCCTTCTCTCCCCAAGTCTCAGGAATTAAATAACAGCTCTCTACTCTGTGAGACAGGCTCTTACCAGCATCTCACACCCTTCACCCTCATTTCCTTTATCTTCCTTCCTTCTCCTGTGCGTAGCCTTTTTGGAGACACTGCTGATGCCGTACCCTAGCGAAGCCCGTCTACGGATGCTCAGTCGAAGCATGTTATGGGACCAAAACACACCATCACCTTTCCTGGGAACCTGGGAGGGAGCGCTGCCCAGAGGGAGAGTGTGATTGGGGGGACTGTTTCATAAATATTCTGTTTCTTGAAATGTTTATGAGGACAAATGAGCAACAGTCAACAGTCAGGCACAGAAATAAAGGACAAAGAAATGCGAGTGTGCTTTGGACCCGGAGGACCCCCGCAAAGCGTTCAGCACTCGGTAACCTGGTAGGAATGCTGTCAAAGCGTTCAGCACTCGGTAACCTGGTAGGAATGCTGTCAGAGCGTTCAGCACTCGATAACCTGGTAGGAATGCTGTCAGAGCGTTCAGCACTCGATAACCTGGTAGGAATGCTGTCAGAGCGTTCAGCACTCGATAACCTGGTAGGAATGCTGTCAGAGCGTTCAGCACTCGATAACCTGGTAGGAATGCTGTCAGAGCGTTCAGCACTCGATAACCTGGTAGGAATGCTGTCAGAGCGTTCAGCACTCGATAACCTGGTAGGAATGCTGTCAGAGCGTTCAGCACTCGATAACCTGGTAGGAATGCTGTCAGAGCGTTCAGCACTCGATAACCTGGTAGGAATGCTGTCAGAGCGTTCAGCACTCGATAACCTGGTAGGAATGCTGTCAGAGCGTTCAGCACTCGGTAACCTGGTAGGAATGCTGTCAGGGAGCTGCTCACCTTCAGCAAGTGCCACGTTTGAGAGGATTCCCTGGAAATCTCTGCTGAAGATTAGGGACGGGATATGATAACCACCAAAGCAACGGTCCTCTTTATTTGCGCTTATGAAGTGGAGGGCCGTGTGTCAACTGCTTAATATACATTATCTTACTTAATTCTGTTTCGTAGCTGAAGAAACGGAGGTTCAGAGAAGTAACAAGCCCAGGTTACCCAACTGATTGATCACAGAGCCAGGGTTTGGACCCAGAAAACAAGTGCACTCAGGGCCCACCCTCTGCCCCACCAGAACCAGGGGTTTTGAATCTTTTCTGTGCCGTGGATCCCTTTGGTGGTCTGGGGAAGTCTGTAGACCCCTTCTCAGAATAACTTCTTACTCACATATAAAATAAAATATGTAGGATTTCAAAGATAACCGATTAAGTTGAAATATAATTTTGATGTACTAAAAGATTAAATTTGTGAGATGGTCATACCTGTGGTGCTCTACTAACTAATGAAGAACGAGCTTTAACCTAGCAGCAGGCCCAGTGATGGCCACTGTTTCAAAGTAGCGAGGGGCTCTGGGACAGTACTTTGTGATATCTGCAACAGCCATGGCATGTGTCCCAGTCTGTTTTCTGTTGCTTATAACAGAATACCTGAAACTGGGTAATTTATAAGCAAAAAAAATTTATTTCTTAAGGTTTCGGAGTCTGGGAACTCCAAAGTTGAGGGCCGTATCCTGCTGGCAGGACTCTGCAGTCCGAGGCAGCGCAGGGCACCAGGTGGTGAAAGGGCTAAGTGCACTAGCTCAGGTCTCTCTTCCCCTTCTCATAAAGCCACCAGTCCCACTCCCATGATAACCTATTAATCCATTTTCCCTTAATCCATGAATGGATTAACATATTCATAAGCTCAGAGCCCTCATGACCCAATCACTTCTTAAAGGCCCTGTCTGTCAAATACTGCTGCTTTGGGGATTAAGTTTCAACATGAAGTTTGGTGGAGACGAACCATATTCAAACCATAGCAGGGTAATATGAAAATATCCATGATTTCTATTGATGACAAAGTCTCAGCTACTGCTGACACTGCTGTAGTTTTTAGCGCACATTTATAACCAAAGGAAATGATGAATTTCAGAAGTTAGTGGAAACAAGCATGTGATTTTTCCCATCCGAGTTCATGGCCCCCTCAGTCTACCCTGGAGGTTCATGTGCTCCACTTTGACCCTTGCAGTTAACTCTGTCCATGTCATTTCAAGATGTCGCTATCACTAATAGGCCTTTGGATTATTTTTTCTCCCTATGGAAACACTGTACCTTGAGTTAGGTTAGAAAACTTATCGGGCCAGCCCGGTGGCGCACTGGAGAGTGCGCCGCTTGGGAGCGCAGCGGTGCTCCCACTGAGGGTTCGGATCCCATGTGGAGACCGGTTCCCGCTCACTGGCTGAGCGCGGTGTGGGTGCAACATCGAGGGTTGCGATCCCGTTGCCGGTCCCCGGTGCGGGCGCAACACCGAGGGTTGCGATCCCGCTACCGGTCAGTAAAAAAGACAAAAAGGAAAAAAAAAAAAGAAAACTTATGAAAGAGCCTAATTACCAAGACAGATTTGCTTGTTTTAGGTGAATTTAGAATTTCATAATTATCTTGCAGATTCTTTCAAATGAAAAAGAATAGGACAGTATTTTACAGTAAACCTCTTCAGTGGATTCCCAGATTTAATTTTGGTGACAATTATGAAAAAATGAAACATGAGACCAAGGAATCAGGAAAAAGAATTACTAGGGATACAGAAGTTTCTCAGTTGATATTCTTAAAATTTCAATTCATATTTGCTACCTAGGTTAAGCAATAATTTATGAATTAAAGATACAAGTGTAAACAAACCTAAATGTTATTCTACATTCTTGGAGCCTTGTTGCTTTGGTTAAAATAAACCACCATGCCCCACCCTGCCTTCTTGGGTTCCTGTTGATGTCACAGCATCTCTGCCATCAGATAGCAATTACTTTTCATCTTTGATCTCTTCTACCTCAGCCCTCTCAACATGCTCAGCCAGAAAAAATCCACCTAAATTCCTAAACCCAACAAACAACAGATGCTTTAAAATTTAGTTAGCAGGGAAGAGAATCTCCTTTTTCCTTTCAGTGGATTCAAAATCATTTTCCTCACAAATTCACCATGGAGCACCTGGACTGTATGCAGCAGCTTCATCTGCATTGACAGAAATGTCATTTGCAGTGTGTCTTGAGGAATCCTGGTGGGTGTGGAGGCAGCAGACAGCCGTGTTGTGCAGGCCTCACCTGGGCACACCTCTGGCCTCGCCCCAAGGCATGTCCCATGCTTCTGTAGCACAAAGGTGCCCAGCAGATTGTAGAGGCCAGAGCTGTAGAATCGTGAGAGGAGAAGCGTTTCTCCTACAACACAATCCGGAAAATGTTAATTCTGTACCCACAGTAGCACTACACTCAGAACACTGGAGCGGGAGCTATAGAAACTGTAGATGGTTAGGGTCCCCAGGCCCACTGCGGGTTATATTTCTCTGGGTGAATTCCCTAACCCCTGAGTCTCCACTTCTGTTCAGAAAAAGCAGTTGAAAATGTCTTTTCAAAAGGAAGAAAAAATGTCTTTTCTCTGTTATTTAGAGGTTAAAGTCTAGATAAATGCAAACTTGTCTTGGTGCAAACAATGCAGACTTTTATGTGTTTACCTATAGCAGGCTTTGGACGCTTTGTCTGTCCTACTTTGTCTGCACACAGTGTCTTCCCTTTTGGGAAGACAGGCGCTGTGGTCCAGGGTTTGGCATTATGCATGCCCCGCAGCTGGTGGTAAGCCTCTTGGGATGTCCTGCGCAGTAGCGCAGCTCGAGGAGGGGAGCGAGCTCGGCATTTGTGCTTTCACTCGTCTCGTGGTGAGCCCAGCCTGCGTGTTGGAGGAGGAGGTGGGAGACCGGATGAAAGACGAACACGAGAGAAGCAGGGGTGGCAGTGGGAGTGCCGCCTGTGGAAAGGTGGCAAGAACAAGCCTGCATCCGGGCGGAGTATGTCCCAAAGAGAGACAGGAAGGGAACTTGCTCTTTGTGTTTTGTATTTGGTTGCTTCAAAACTGATTTTCAAGGTCCACTTTGAAAACCCTAACCTCTCGGTCCTCCTCTATTTGTCTTTGTCTTGCTTTCCTGCAGAGTATTCAGGAGTCGAAAATGACAACGAAACTGAGCCTGTGACTCTGGCCTCCGCAGGTTGCTGGATTTTTCCCCTACAGTTCACTGTTGTGTTTCATCTAAAGATGAGACATCGATTCATTCCACATGTCGCATGAAATGCCCGAGTTGCCTTGTGGTCCTGGACATTTGAGCTGCTCCTCTGCATTTACGCTTCTCCCATCGCTTCGTGGGGTTTTCCTTTTCTGCCCTTTCCAATCCCAGCTGAAGTGAGGGCAGGTGACTCACTCAGGCTGGCCCCCGCAGCTGCCCCGATCCCGCTGCCTGAGGTCCCCCCTGAAGGCTCACAGGCCAGGCTCGTGAGGCCACCTCATGGTTCTCGTGGCTCAACCACAAGACAGGAAGACTCGTTTTGAGATGCTCTGTCCTGATTGATACTAAAGTTTAAACAGATGTTTCTTAGAAATCTCGATTCCTAGTGATGATTTACGATGCCTCATACCCTTATCAGAAGAGACATGTTGCTGAGTATCTGTCTCATCTCCTCTATCAGTTTAAGAACAAGGTTTAGTGGCACCTGTTTTTGGCTCTTTGTTGTAGTCTGTCCGGGGCCATTTTCTGGGTTTTTGTCTTCCTTGTAGTATCTTCATTTCTCAGTTATGCTCAGTTGTAGGAGACAGGACTGATGAGACTGCACAGCATGGCAGCTGTCTGAAAGCCTGACACAGGCTTTGGCGTGCAGGGTGATTCTAAGCATCCCTGTTGTCTTTGTGGCCGTGCTTGTGTGGTTCATCCTCAAGCGTGTGTGTCCAGGGTGTGCTCAGTCAGAGAAAGCAGCCCCCAGTAGGACCAGCTGGTTGAGGAGGCAGTGGCTGAAGAGGCTGGTGCTGGTAGGGGGTGTCACCATGCACGCTGGTGATGGGTGCAGGGTAGGATGCCATTACCAGGGAGTGGCTGGATATGTAGGGACACTCATGGGACTGCTTGGCTTCCGGGCTTTGGGTGAGGGACCCCAAACTCCCCTTTTCTCCAGGCCATGTGCATGATCATAAATGATTTAATTTCTTCATTGCGCTTCCATGTAGATTGCAAGGCTAACAGGATTTGGTCTGAACTAACCTGCATGTCCATCCATCAGGCTGCCTCCACCAGTAACACTGCACTGAGACGTGGGTCAGGAGGCTCTGGGCTGCACGTCTGACTTCTTCCTTTTCCCCTGTGCCAAAGGTGGTGACCTGCATATGACCCAGTTTTTCCGAGGTAATCTGGCTGGCCTAACGATTCGTTCCGGGAAACTCGCTGATAAGAAGGTGATTGACTGTCTCTATACCTGCAAAGAGGGGCTAGACCTGCAAATCCCTGAAGACAGCAGCAGGGGCGTGCAGGTAACACCAAGCGTTCAGCCGCACAGCATCATGGGCTCCTAGCCCACAGACACCACAAACAGGCTGGTGGGAGAAGGGAGCAGTTTGTGATTGATACGTCTGCAGCTTAGATATCACCGTCATGTGGAAGAGGGTCTCGTTCACTGGAATTACAGTATACAGCTTTCCTTTTCAGGTTGATCCCAGGCTAATCCCCTTTGTCAAAGCACCCATGGTTTCAGCTCCTTGCAGTCAGAGCCTTATTCCTCTCCTCTTTCCATCTGACTTCAGATCCAAGCAAACCCCAGTCAGTCGGTGTTGACCTTGGAGGGAGGAGATGTTGGGGAGCTGGATCAAGCCATGCAGCACATTTCCTACCTGAACTCACGGCAGTTCCCCACGCCTGGCATCCGGAGACTCAAAATCACCAGCACAGTCAAGTATGTCCTGATCTTTAACAGTCAATCTGTTTTTGCTCAGTGACACTTGAGAAGAAATGTGTGTATTTAGGTTTTTAAGACAACCTAGCCTCCCTTCTGTAGGGGGAGGTGAGCCATCTCTCGTTACCAAAAAGCATGAGTGAGAGATTTGAATGATGTTCATGCATCACGTTTGGAAGTGTCCTCCTGGTGTGGCCACGTCTTTTGTCCCTCCAGGTACTCATGGAATCCTGTGTGTTCCTCCTCCACATGCCATTTTGCACACCTGGGCTCCGAGGCCGTCTCTCAAAGCTCTGACTCTTCCCTCCCTTTTTCTGTTTCTTGCTGGCAGGTGTTTTAATGAGGCCACCTGCATTTCAGTCCCCCCAGTAGACGGCTACGTGATGGTTCTACAGCCCGAAGAGCCCAAGATCAGCCTGAGTGGCGTCCACCACTTTGCTCGAGCAGCTTCTGAATTTGAAAGCTCAGAAGGGGTTTTCCTTTTCCCTGAGCTTCGCATCATCAGCACTATCACGAGAGAAGTGGAGCCCGAGGGGGACGGGGCTGAGGACCCCACAGGTACCAGCCCCTCCCGTGGGACAGCCTCCCTTGCCTGGGCTGCCGCTCTGCCCTGGGCTCTTTTCCCTGTAGGGTTTTGGGAGATTTCAGTGTGTCATCCCTGTTCTTGGGTTTGCTTCTGGAATCTGACTGTAGGCTGCTGCTCATTATGGGCCGTGGAAACCCCCGTGGAGGGTCAGTGTGTCTTTTTCTGGCTGACAGCAGGCACTGAGTCGGGGCTGGAGGTTGAGGGGGTGAGACAGTTGTGGGAGGCGCTGTTGCTTTCCAGCCTGGAGACGCGCTTGTGCTGGGCTGGTCAGCCCACGGGACCATCACATCCCTACCCTTCTCGCTGGGGACTCACGAAGCACTCCCAGTTCTTGAAAGGGACTCTCCCCTACCATTGTCACTGGGCCTGAGAGGGGCCTTTTCTGAGTTTAAGCATGAGCCACAGGCCATTGAGTGTGGCCTACACCCTCTGCTCCTTCTGGTTGGGCCGTTTTTGCAGTTCAAGAGTCTCTGGTGTCTGAGGAGATCGTGCACGATCTGGATACCTGTGAGGTCACAGTGGAGGGAGAGGAACTGAACCGAGAGCAGGAGAGCCTGGAGGTGGACCTGGCCCACATGCAGCAGAGGGGCATCGAAGTGAGCAGCTCTGACCTGGGCGTGGTCTTCACAGGTGAGAGGGAATGCCGCCAGGCGGGGGGCCGGGGCGGGCCAGGCTGCCAGAGTGACCATCGAAAGCACTTGACCTCCTGCCATCTGAGAACATCAGGATTGTCCAGGAGGAGATGCCGAAGGAGTGCACTTGCTGGGGTCCGTGCTGGCTGTGCACTGACCCCTCCTCCTGGACAGGAAACAGAAGTGCAGGTGCCACCTTTCACAGGGGTCTTGTCAGGCGTGTGGTAGCACGTCCCCGAGACGGAAGCCGCTGCACGTGTTGCATGCACTCCCGCTACTGGAAAGCCAAGCGGGTGACCTGAAGGCTCAGCCAGCCCAGATGCCTGATGTTAGCCCTGGCCCTGCCATGTCCCCCACCTAAGCCACCCGACAATCTTCTCGCCTCCAACCCCTGCAGGCGTAGACACCATGGCCAGCTACGAGGAGGTTCTGCACCTCCTGCGCTATCGGAACTGGCATACCAGGTCCTTGCTTGACCGGAAGTTCAAGCTCATCTGCTCGGAGCTGAATGGCCGCTACATCAGCAACGAATTTAAGGTGGAGGTGAGTGAGCTCCTGCTGACGAGGCCAGCAGCAGCAGTCACTGAGCACCTGACTCGCAGCCTGATATTTGCAAATGCCCAGTTTTAGAGCAGTCGTGGTGGCAGCTACTTAGATTTGTCCTGGGGGTGGTAGCCTCCTCCATTATGGTGTCTCTGCAGGTTTGGGGTGCAGGGTTATGTGTAGGGTGGGCTGGGGGACAGTGGGTGCTCCCCTTCCACTGGCTGCCTCAGCCCAAGAGGAACCTTGGAGGAAGGTGATGAAGAGCAGATGGCAGTTAATGCCTCGGAGTGGGGACAAGGCGGTTCCTGGAGGTTTCACATGAGAGAGACACGTGGATGCTATGTTAGAGCAGCTCCCAGGGAACCAGAGGTTCTTTCTCATTGTGCCAGGTCACTGGCCTATTGGGGATAAAGCTATGTCCTTGGCCTGAGGAGAGGTGTTGATGCAGGCACCATCACCAGGTAAGGCCAAGGCTGATTGTGGTGACTCACGGGCCACGGTGGCCGAGGGCAGCTTGGCCTGCCCTGAAACCTTCAACAGACCTGTGTAGTGGCTTTTTCATCACCTGGGGCCTCTGTGCTCTGGAGAAATAGACCCAAGCTTATTCCTGACGATTGAACGTCTCCACTGTGACCTTAACGGCAGCTGGCTGCTGTGTTTGTGGAGCTGCAGAACCGAGGAGTGTTGTGTGTGGCTACAGGGTGACTGATTTGGAAGGAAATAGATGGTTGTGTCTGGCTTCTCTCACGTGGCCCCAGTTGTAGGACAAAGGAGGAGCACGGTCTATGCCGGTGCTTCCCAGATGGCCCATGGAGGAGGGCCAGTGGCTTCCCTGCTCTATTGTGGATGGATTCTTTTCTAAAAGGCAGTAAAAATCAGTTATAAGAAAAGTGACACATTTCTTGGAGTGTGACAATATTATTGTCACAACAGTTTCTAAGTGCTTACTCTTGACTCTTTTCTGTCCTATTCTCATCGCAGACGGTAGTGCCATTCGCCCCCAGCACTGGTCCAGGGACCACTCTGAGTGGCACTGGCCAAGCCACCTACTAAACTCCATTTCCATCTCTTGGACACGTGTGGGATGCTGGTCTCCAGTGGCCCTCTGTCTCCCTGTGCTGCAGGTGAACGTGATCCACACAGCCAACCCGGTGGACCACGCCAGCCACATGGCCGCACAGCCGCAGTTCGTTCACCCCGAGCATCGCTCCTTTGTCGACCTGTCGGGGCACAACCTGGCCAACCCCCACCCGTTTGCAGGTAGGGCAGCAGGGGAGGTGTTGGGCTGGACACCCCGGGACACCCTGCCGTGAGCACAGTCTCCTCCTTAGAACCCCACCAGTCATTCCGTGTCCCTCTGACTCCCTGTCACACTTGAGGGAACTAAAGCACTCCCAGAGGGTGACTGCTTCACCTGTGGCCACCGAGCAGTACGTGAATGAGCCAGACCTGAGGCCTGTCCCGAGTTTTTCTGGTGCCTTTTCCCAGCCTTCGGGGGTCAGGTGATACGTTCTGACCAGCCCGTGTGACCTGGCATAGCTGAGGAGGGCAAGGGCCTGACGGCCATTTGGGATAAGTGACGTCACTCAAACTCTTTTGTCTTTCAATCTCATCGCAGTTGTCCCCAGTACTGCTACCGTGGTGATCGTGGTGTGCGTCAGCTTCCTGGTGTTCATGATCATCCTGGGAGTGTTTCGCATTCGGGCTGCGCACCAGCGGACGATGCGGGACCAGGACACTGGGAAGGAGAACGAGATGGACTGGGACGACTCTGCCTTGACCATCACCGTCAACCCCATGGAGGTAGGAGCGGACGGGGCCTTGGAAGAACCAACGTAGCACCTTCATGTCCGTGTGCTGAATGTCGTGGAATCCGCACGACAACTCTGGGAGGTTAGGTGCCCCCTTTACAGATGGGTAAACTGAGGCTCGGAGAGGCCTATTATACTACCTAGTAAGTGTCAAGATGAGCTCACGCTGGGCGCAGTGCTCCTCTCTTTCCTTTATCTCTTCCCCACCCAACCCTGTCTCACATACCTGAGACACCAGAGCCCCCGAGACACCTGAGATGTCTTTCCTGGGGGCAACTGCGGTGCCCGAGGCTGGGCGCACGGCCCTCCCTGCCCAGGTCACACGTGGGCATGACCCCTGGGTGATCATCAGAGCTTTGTTTCCTGTCTCCCCTCTGCGAAGGCCACTTCCAGTGTAGTCCAGGCCCCTCTCCCACTGGGGAGTTCCTCTCACTGGGGGGACTTTCCTGTCCTCTGCGACTCTGGAAGGGGAACATCTCAGATGACAGGGTCGTGCGCTGGGGCAGGGGCCAGGGGCTGGACTCACACGGCCATCTCTTTGCCAGACATACGAGGACCAACACAGCAGCGAGGAGGAGGAGGAAGAGGAGGAGGAGGAGAGTGAGGACGGAGAGGACGAGGACATCACCAGCGCGGAGTCGGAGAGCAGCGAGGAGGAGGAGGGGGAGCAGGGCGAGCCCCGGCACGTGAACAGGCAGCAGCAGCTGGAGTGGGACGACTCCACCCTCAGCTACTGACCACGCCGGCCCTCGCCACCTTCCGTTCTGCCCCAGAAGACTCTGCTGTCGTCTGCTTCCCCTCCCCAGGGTCCACGATGTACAAAGTTGCTGCGGCCAGTAGGTCTGCTGACCCTCCCCGTTGCTGATCGTCCGCTGTGCTTGGTGTGTAGGACCGTAGGCGCCCGCGTCGCTCCCTCACTTCCGCCATGAGCCGACCCCTCCTCTCTGGTCGTCATCTCGCTCGCGTAGGGGCCCCCCCGGTGCCATCCCCCCCACCCACGTGTCTGGGGTCTCCTCCTGGCCGGTGAGAGGGTGTCGGCCCCTCGCATCTCCAGAAAAGCTGTGATGACTGGACTTGTTGACAAAGGGTAAAAGTTGCTCACTCCCACCCGGTAAATCATTTTTTTTCTTTTTTTAAAAAAGGTTTTTATTTTTTCCAAACTAGTGCATGTATAAAATGGCAGAATGGGGGTTAATATGTAGATGATTAACTGACTTTTTAATATTTTGTAAATAAATTGGGATTCTATGTGTCCTTTGTGCTAGTGTAACCCAGGACTGGAATGTAAAGTGACGTTCAGAGCGCTGAGCGCAGGAGAGACCCTGCAGGGCGCCCCCCCCAGCCCCCAGAATCCAGGACGGAGAGGCCTGCCCCGCTCAGGCCCCCGCTCAGGCCTCTGTGTGGCCGGGGGGACCAGGGGCCACAGGCTGTGGTGTGCCGCTCAGGAGCCCAGACCAGGGACCCCTCTTTGGGGGCTGGAAGTAGCCAGGTCTTTTCCTGGGGATTCTACCTGTCTCTAATTTGGCAGTGGGGGTTGCGGGGGCCGCAGCCTCTTTTACACACTCCTCATGGGACCGGCAGCTCCCTGTGCAGCAGCCTGGACTCACTATGTGCTGCCTTGTGGTTTGTACTTGATAAACGTATGTTTCCGTGCTGGTGAAAGTATGTATAGATTATATGAACCGACTGCTATGTGCAAACCATGTGACCACGTGGTTTGGAGACAGCAAAATGCCTGAGGGATCCCTACTCAGAATGTCCAAAAGGAGACCCTATGGCCCAAAGGCAAAGTGCTAGAATTTTCCAGAACAGCGTGTGCTCTTCTCTCTCCTCTCCAGAGCCCCTGTGGGATGCCCCCTGCTGTCCGGGGGGAGGGGGATGAGATCGACACTTGGCAGTGAGGCTCCGGAGGACAGCAAGCAGCCCTGGCCTGAAAGCTGGCAGCATTTGCCAGCTGTCGACGTACAATTTCAGGTTTCCAAAATGGGGGCATGCTTTGGAATACTGTCTGTGACCCCCACTGCTAGTGTCAAGGACACTGACAGCTGTGCTGTGTCGCGTGTGGCCACCTTCCCACGTCCCTACCCTGTAGCTGCTCTGTCTAGACGGTAATAGACGCAAATGCAGGGAGGGACACCCCCTGCCGTGTAGCCGCCGTGGTGTCCCTTGGCAGATGTGTATATTATGATAGGTCAGAAAGCGTGTGCGCTGCAATAAAGTGCTGGTTCTAACTCCAGTAGGAGTGGGATTGGTTTGTTTTCTGTCCTGTTCTTGCCTTAATCATGCATTCCCTTGTTTCTTTGTGAGCCGAGAACATAGGAACATAAAAAGGCCTTTATTTCTTTCCATCTGCTTTTACCTCTCATTTCAAAGTTTCACAGAGTGCTGGTCTCAACCTACATGTTGAACTGATATTGAACTCGCCTTCCCTGTACAGAAACATGAAATGATTTTAAAAAACTAAGAAATATTCTCGCCAGACGCTCAGACTGCACACCCAAACCAGAAGTCACTGTGGTGTGCGAAGCAGGCTGCCCATGCCCGGGGGCACACGGGCTCCTTCAAATAAATTACATGACACGTAGACACACGTGCAGCTTTTCCTGTTTCAGAACAGGTGAGGTGATCTGATGGATTTCAGCACTTAGTGGGGAACAGCATGTGGCCACTGGGGACAGCAGCCAAGACAGGTGCCCCCTGGGTGGCACTGGTTGCTGAGGGACCCCTAACTAACCAAAACAGAGTTGGTGCCTGTGCAGTTGAGAGGACAGTTACTTCTGGTTCTGCTGAGTCTCAGAAGCTTTTGTGGGATCAGCACTGTCACTTGGTGGGTCCTGAGGCAGCCATTAATATGTTAGGATCACCTGTGGCCTTCTGAGAGCCCAGATTCCCAGCCCCATCTCCATAGTTGACATCGGGCGCTGAGAGAGGCTCCAGAACCTGTGCATGTGAAGCTCCTCACAGCCAGGCCTTTGGGAGGCCTTTGGCTAAGCCTGGACCATTCAAACTAAGTGCTGACAGAGAAAAGAACCACTACACCCTCACTTCTGGTGACTGATTACACTCACAGCAGGTCCTTAAAGGTGAGATAATTCTGGAAGACTTAGATCCTGTCCTTTCATTAAAACCTGCTTTTGGAGGCAGCTTACAGATAATTGCACGAAAGACTCGACTCTGACCTGCTTTCCCCTTGATTCATGACCAGAATGAGCTAAAGGAAGCTCAGGTCTTTTTAACATTTCTTGGGGACCAACACATATTATACTTTATGGGGGCTGGGTCCCTTCTCCTGAGCCCTAGAGGTTCAGTCAGTAGTTTGGCTATTACTTTCTTACCCGCAAACAAAATCGCTTTATAGCTGAGTGGCGAGGGAATTCCCGTACCCAAGAGTCACTTTAACGTGAAGAGCGAACGTCCCTGAATGTAGAGGGGACCCGGGCTTCCTCGGGGAGCTGCCGGAACTCAGTCAGTGGCAACCACGCTGGGTGGGTCGCACAAAGGTGGCAGGGGGGCACTGAAGACTGTGGTGGCCTCTCTGGACAGTAGGTACCAGGACCAGGTAGTCTGGCGAGAGGCTGGGAAGAAGACTTCCCCAGGACGAGGACAGTTTTTGCTGGGTCCAGAGCCACCGTGGAAGACTTGGTGACAGCCCTCAGTGGAGAGTGAGGTGCCCTACTCAGTGTCTTCACAGAGCCCAGCACTCTGACTGGGCCCCTCCCTGGCACAAAGGATGCGTTTCCATTATGGCTGTTTAGTTCCTTAAACATCTCAAGTCACAAATAAATAACCAGTGTAAACAAAAGGCAGTTGTGTAGGTTCTTTCCCATGAGGTGCGTGTGTGGCTTTTAGGCCCCTTCTGGGGCGACTGATGGTGCCTGGTCCCCGGGACCTAGCTGGCCTCGTCTCGGCCCAGGGCTGGAACGGGCCGCTATTGCCTGTTATCTTTGGACACGTTGTGGGCCAGCCAGTTCACTTTGGTTTTCCAGCTCTCCCGGAGGGCTTCGTTGAACTTCACTCGGAAGTGCTTTAGAGCCTCCTCCTCTGTCTTTCCCAGCGCCAGAGAGTCCTGAGACAGAATCATCACAGTGGCATTAACATCAAGGGGCCCAGTCCCTGCCCCTAATGCAACCCATCCTGGCTCCGTAGGCTTCTACCCGCTCTGGGTATTTTAAATTCCCTCATGAAAGAACTGCATGACGGGTGCCTGGCACAGCACACGGGGTCTTGACAGGGGTGCCCGGCACAGCACACGGGGCCTTGACAGGGGCGCCTGGCACAGCACTCGTGGATGACAGGGGCCTCCCTCACCTCAGGTCCAGCCCCTCCTGCTTCCACAGCGCGTCCATGAGTTAGGAGAGAGCCACCCACAGCTCCCATGGGCAAAGCTCTTTATTCTGTACCGAAACCAAGGCCGGTCCCCTGGCCCATCCTTAAATTAAGACACCAAAGATGTCCTGGTCCCAAGCCCCTCGGGTTGCCAGGCAGCCTTGCCTTCTCCACTGGAGACAGTGACTCCAGGAGGCGGGCACTGAAGAGCCTCGCCTCCCCCCACCCTCACCCCTCCCCAGCTTCTCACACACTGAAGACAGGAGGGAGGCAGAGCGTTTAAAACACCCGGGGAACCGCAGCCCAGCGTGTACCCAGGAGAACGCCCGCAGCCTGTTGAGGACATGAGGGTTGACCAAGGAAGGTCATGACATATCTGCCGCTGAGTGGGGCCCAGCCTGGGCCGCTTCCTGCCAGACCCCGGGGCTGGGTCCTGGGACGGCATAAGGGACACACACGAGCTTGGCGTGCCCTATTGGGCCCACGGCAATCGGGGCCATCCTAGGTCGCACTGCTTGGGCAGGCCTCGGGAGGCCTCTGGCGACCCTGCTCTCCTGCCCGGCGTGGGCCTGCCCTGGCGTGTACCTTGAGATACTGGATGTCTTTGGAGCAGCTGAGCTCGGGCAGGCCCGCCGCCCGCATCAGGGCGAACAGGTGCAGGAAGAGCAGCCCGTGTCGCCGCAGGATGGTGTACGCTCTTTCACAGTAGCCCCGGAACCTGCGGGTGGGAGGGCCAGGTGACACTCTGGGCCTCCCAGCTGCCCCCAGCTGCCACCCCCAGCTCCTCTAGCTGCCCCGGCCCACCTCCTACATGATCCACCAACCTTCTCCTCATGTTACCCCCAAAAGGCACTCCAGGGTTGGGGGGATGCTCCCTGCTGAGAGGACAGGGATGGGTTCCCAATCCATCAGCAATCCACGGGCGGGGACCAGGGTGGGCTGAGTGTCCCCGCACCCTGCCTGGACACGGAGGGGCATCTAGCGGGTCTGAGGCGCCCTCACCTTTCAAATTTCTCACTGTTACTGGTCTTCCCCTGCTGAATCACATGGACAAAGTCATAGGTGAGGATGAATGGGACTCGCTCACGGTTGATTCCAAACTTGGTCTTGAAATTCCCCAGAAAGTGGCCAAAATCAATGTGGAACAGCTAAGGGGAGGGAAGGGCAGAGGCTGAAGAGGTGTCAGAAAGGAGCACGTCCAGGGGAGAGAGGGGAAGCCAGCAGGGTGGGGAGCATGCCCTGTAGGGGACGAGGGCCGGCAGATGCGCCACAGGGCAGCTGCCCACACCGTCCCTACCTGCCCATTCTCGCGGATCATGATATTGTCACTGTGCCGATCACCGATGCCCAGCACGTACGTGGCCACACAGTAGCCAGCACAGGAGAGGGTGAACTCCTCAATGGCTCGATCCAGGGCCTCCCTGGATGGGGAATTGAAAACCAGGGCCACACCATTTTGCAGCTGCTATCAAAAGGTGGAGTCTAGTTCCACTCTTCTTGAATCTGGCCTTAACAGGCTTTGACCAACAGAACGTGGAGGAAGTGATGTTGGGTGTCACTTCCCGACACTCTCACAGAGCCTAGGCCTTAAGACACCTCGCAGATCTTGAAACCCCCTCTCCCAAAACACTGCCACAAGGGAAGCTGAGGCTGATCTACTGAATGAGGAAAGGCCACATGCAGAAGGGCATGGCTGACAGCCAGTGCCCAGGCCCCAGGCATGTGACTGGGGCCACTGTGGACCCTCCAGGCCCAGTCTGAGCACCATGATAGGAGCTGCGTGAGTGAGTCCAGCAGAAGAACCAGTCGGCTGAGCCCAGCTGACATTGCAGATTCGTGAGCCAATGGCAAATAGTTGTGTTAAGGCCCTAAGCCTTAGGTGGTGTTACACAGCAATAGGGAACTGATATGTGTGAATAGAGGCGCTCCCTGCCACGCCCCAGGTGCAGGCTGGTCCTCGGCTGAGCCAAGTAGCCGAAGACTGTCACAGGCCCTTCCCCTCACCTTCGACTCTAACAGGCAGCCCTTCCCACACTGCACCTCTTGGAAAGCAGAGGGCCTCTGTCTATCCCAGGGCCCGATACCTACCCCGGATTCTTGGACTTGAGCCAGTTGAGCAGGGCGTCCTTGTTGAAGGCGGCTGTGGCTGCCATGTTGCTCTTGTTCAGCTGGATGTTGGCGATGGTGTCTGAGTGAAGTACCACCTCGATGAGGCCCGTGCGGTCCCCAGTGGGGAGGCAGCCATAGGGGGTCATCCTAGGCGGGTGCGGGGAGGGACGGCAAATGCCACGGTCAGGGACTGTCCCTGAAGCTGCTTGACACCCAAGAGCTCAAGCCACCCAAAAAAGCCATAGAAGATGCTGCTTCTCAGGTTGCTGAAAAGGAGAGGAAGGATGCTGGACTCCTTGGAAAAGCCAGCACCAGTGCCCAAGATGCAGGGAGCACCTTGGCTAAACTCATGCTTGCTTGGAAGAGAACAAGTCAGCGGGCTTGGAAGAAGACACCGCTGCTTCCAAGGTGGGGTGGAAAGCGGGGGACACTTGGGCAAAGAAAAGGATGGGGCGGGACAGGTGCCAAGCAGCGGGATGGCCCTCTCCACCCTCACCGCATTGCCCTGTGCCTCCCTTGCCCGGTTGGGTTTTAAACCGCTCCCTGCTCCTCCTAGAACAGCCCTTCTTCCCCAGCTGAGATGGTAATGATGGCCTTGACAGGGGTGCCTGGCACAGCACTTGCAGATGACAGGGGGGCCTCCCTCACCTCAGGTCCAGCCCCTCCTGCTTCCACAGCACGTCCATGAGCTGGATCATCTGCAGAGTCAGCATGTCCTGACGGAGGTCTGTGTAGCCCGCCGGCCAGAAGGAAAAGCCTGAGTTTCTGGTGGGTTCTCCACTCCCAGCTATGCCCAGTTCC